CAGACCGCAGCCAGTCACTCACCAAAACTCCTCTCTCCGGCAAAGTTACAAACTCCAAATTCCAGAGAAGTTCTGCTGTTTACTTCTCCCTCTCCCGTGCCACGAAAACGATGTCCCCGTAATATACAGGACAAAACAACATTCGTAACTGCATTTTGAGGGAGATTTTCTCTCTTTCTGACAGCCTCACTCTTCGGAGCCTAAGCCCAACAGCAATTACTATGACCTTTGCAAGACTCTCCTGAGCTCCACACCAGACTACTTCCTCATGGTCACTTTAATTTTTAAGCACTGGGTAACACAGACTTACACAACAGAGATGTATTTCCACATACCTAACAGGTGAAGGCCATGAGTCCCCCCTGTAACTATATATGAGACAGCTAGGTCACTCAGCGAATTGCACAGGAGATTTCAGTTGCAAACTAAAGCTCTGAAACAAGCTTGTGTCATACAAGATTCATTCACTTTTGCTTCTAGTCCAAGTAACATACACATGGAATTGCAGCTCAGTTTTTTTCTCTTAGGTTTCTTAGGTTTTCAGAACTAGCACAAGCACCTGATCTGATGTGAAACAAAGCTGGAAAGTATTCATGCAAGACCCTGAAACCTGCTGTCTTTCGCACAGTGTCAGCATGGATGTGACACGCGGATAGGACAAAGTAAATACCACTGAGTTGTGCTGCCATTTAGGGAAGTGCAGTGTGACCTAGAGCTGTATTTGACCTTCTAGTAAAGTTCACAAAAGTTCAGGAAAGAAAGTGCCTTGCTGTTTGAATAAGTTCCCGTTCACCTTGATGCACCACTCCACAATTTCCTCAGAAACCTAGGGATCTGAGACAGAAAAGCCAAGGACAAGCCAGTTCACCTCCCCAGCTAAGTGCGACTGCACCCCTTCCATACCAAATCCTTTAGACTTCTGAAGAGGCTGCTCTCTTACCCAAGGTGAATGGTCCGTATGTGTTTCTGAATCCCTGCAGCTGTGCTCAGTACCTTCCCACAGTTTTTCCACAGGCATTTGAACATCACCTTCATGGAGTTCTGGAAATTATGAGTAAAGCAACATTAGATGCGTGGAAGACAGAAAGAAAATCAAACCACCCAAAACAGATACATAGTTACAAAACACTGTGAAGGTTTAGAGCCTCTAACTCTGAATTTGTAATGATGTAAAAGTCTCTGTCAACAGTGTCATCCTACTGAATTCAACAGAATCCCCGTGAAAAGCCACAGGAGCAGCTTGTGCCAAAACTTTACCTCTCTCTGCTTTTTGGCATGGCTTTTTCATTTGCAAGTTCCAGTTGCTGTCTCCCCACTGAAGGAGGTAGACGATATAAAAACTTCCTACACTTCTTTGGAGCCTTTCAAAGAATAACTGATGAGGACTTCTCACTTAATGCAAGGCATCTTCTTAAATTATAATCTTCCTAAAGTAAGCTCTTATGAATACTTCTGCTCATGAATTTTGGAACACAGAAAAAATATTGTGCCAGAAAACTGTAGCTTCTGCAATGACAATACTCACCCATGAGCTGGCAAAACCTGCTTTTATTTCATTCAGAAGCTGCTGTGACCCTTACTTGGACAAGGGAATGAGAAGCCATCTGGCTGTGTTCAACATTTTTAAAAGAATATGTGTACAATCTCATTTTAATATTCTTGTTATATTCTTTAATATAACTTCATTGGCCTAAACTGAGTTATCATTGATTTAGAGCACAGCCAACAAGGCTGTAACCAGCACAATCTTCCATATTTTGAAGACTCTGGAGAAAACTAGTCTTAATTTAAAGCACAGTATGTGGTAACAAACAACACAGATGTTGCAGAACTGTACAGATTTTTTTAAAAGCTAATTTTACCCCAAAATGAAACTTACTTTATAGATTTTAAATAAAAAAAAAATCTAAATAATTTGTACTTCTCAAAAATAATTTTCTCTATTATTACAGAACACATAATTAAAGAAAACATGAGGAAGAGCTTCAAAATACTGTATTATTACCCTATCATTTTAGTTACATGTAAGATTAAATGAATATATTCATATAAAGCTCGATTAAAAAAAAAAAGGAAACGAGCACATCCTTAGCGTTAAGTACATGCTTCACTGTGTCTTGAACAAAAGCTGACTTGGTGCTTTCTTCAATTTGGACCCTTTGGGACTGCATGCCAGTAGATGGTAAGTTTCAGCATTTACTAGAAAGACGATTAGAATATGATTTTTAAAAATGTCAGCTGATGGGCTTTTTAAAATCCAAGTTGATTGTAGTAGCATGTTCTCATAGTTACTTGGCAGTCTAACATCTCCTGTTTGAAAGTATGGATGCTGAGGACTTTAAGATTTGAGGTACCTGATCATACTGTTTGCATGAAAACCTTCTAGTTTGGAATAAAATGCACATAAATTCCCTCTACAATTTTTTGATCTGATAATACAACTACCATTCAAATAGATACAGAACTCTTTTTTCCTAAAATTAAATGTAATCTATTTAGCAATTCTGATAGATACATTTCTTACTTTTATAATACAACAGGAAACACGATCATCAGCTCAAAAACCCACAACCAACCACGGTGGCAAGATGAAGACCATGCTTATCATTTACGTCTTAGGAATTCTGATATGACATCATGAACACCATATGCATCTTTATGAACACAAAATGGTTTAACATGAATCTCCAGTTTGATGGTAAAACCAATCTCCTAGCTCCGCTGTGTTTTTACCTTTATTGTCAGTGCTAGGACTCTGCAAAAACCCATGCATTTTAATGTAACCAAATAAAATCTCACTCAGTAGAAATACAGAACATAAACCACGCTTCCATTTCTGACTAGTCAAAAAATTGCCTAATCAGGCTTAACGTTTTATTTAAGAAAATAACGGAACATAAATGGTTTGGTGAAGAATAACTACATTAGTGGAAACTTTTTAAGCAAGCAACTTTCTTAATAGTAGAAGTGGTCGCTAACATGACATTTTCCAAACATGAAATGGAAGAAACTTTAATGAGTAAAAGTGAGGTTACCGATCACTCTATTTCCAGGTTTATTCCTTCTGATTTTTGCAGCCCTGAAGATGATATAACCTGAAAATTTTTATTTCAGCTTCTAAAGGTGCAAAGCTGTACTCAGATAAAGTACCATGCTGGGACCAGTATCAAAAAAACTGCAGGAAATGCAGTTCATTTATAAAACAAAGTTTGGCAGGTAATGTTATTATTTATCTACATTAAACATTTGCCATACAAAGCAAAATCCCTGTGAACTAGAACAGATAGTGTAATAGATCTGTGGTGGGTACATAAATAGAAACATTCTAAGACAACTTAGATAACAATAAAGATAGCAGCTGCAAATCCATCTGTCTCATCACAGCTGAGCAATAAGAGTGATGCTAATAAGCTGAACTTTAACTGAGAAGTAAAAGGCAAACCAGCATACTCCTGCATTCCTACTCCTCCTGTCCCACACCCTCCACAATCATCTCTGTCTTTAACAGTCAGTTCTAACTTCTAATTTATTATAACAAAGGTGTCCTCCAAAATATTTTTTGTCCTTTTTAGCAAGAAGCACAAACATTTTACACCCCTCTCCCACAAACAAGGGCAGAACAGTGTGGGTCGGCAAATAAGCAACTTCTGGAGCAAAAGGATAAATCTGAACAGGTTTAAACGATCATTAAAACTTCTTCCTGCTGGTGATGAAGCAATTAACTGTCTCAGACTGAGCCAGAAACAAAGTCACTACGGAGAATAAATTCTCTGTTTTTTCTCCTTCTTACAAAAAGCCCTTTTTCATCTTGCTATGTAAATCTGTCCTGTTGTGTTGGGAGAGAAGGAAACTTGGACTAGTGCCATCTCTTTGTTTTCTTTTTCTTCAAGAGGACCTTGCTTGCTAGCATAATGGTGATTTTTTTGGGGTCAGTTTTGGACTTTTTTTTTTACACTGTGTTTTATTTAGTCTGCTTTTGCACCCCTACTGAGGATAAATTTGGCCACTGCTAATACTGTATCAAAAGCCATCAGGTTTGATCTCTCTCTCCTCTTTTCACACCATATGTTTGTGCAGAGAAAGCTTCACAGTATTAAGGTATCTGACATGCTGTCAGACAAACAGCACTTCCAGGGAACAAGAAGTATTAAGGCCATATCCAGTTTTTGTGATGACATCTAAAGGCTGCCTGTTGCATCCCGCATACAAAGAATTTGCCGAAGTAGGATAGAAATCCCTTGAATGGCCAGAGGCAACACCTTCTGGAAATCACTCTAGTGTTTTCTGAGCAGGAGGCTCTGTAGAATCTCACCATCTGCCAGCAAATATGTGGTGCTGATGGCAGCACGTGTGTGCAGTAGGTGACTAGGTTGAACGAGACAGAGTGACTAGGGTAAGTACCTACTTTAATTTGGTAATGCCAAGGAGGGATACACATACAGAGCTGTTTGGGTGACCTGTTCCTTTCTCACAGCAAAATAAGTCTACCAACATCCTATCTGCCCATGGGTATAGAATTCAACGTGAGGCTAACCTTTCTCTTCCTAGGAATGGGTTCATCAAAGAGAAGGTTGCTTGTTTCAGCTTCGTCAATACCATCATCTGGCTGGGAAGGTGTCCGAAAAGCTTTGAAGCTATCAGCTGACAGAGGTGGAGATGGGGTGGATGGGTTGGACTGGTCACTGGGAGCGTTCCAGCTCCAGTATCCACTGCTGCTGGTACTAGAAGGCACAAATCCTCCTTCTTTCCAAGATCCATTTAGGGATTCTGTCAAGAACAATAACAGCCATCATTACAACAGTATCATGTGTTAGGGCTAAGCAGCTCTTTTATCTAAGGCTTAGATGCCATGTTAGTAATTAACTGTACGTTCAATAAAGGAAAGCGAAAGTATTGGATGTACAGAGGACAACCACATCTATCCCACTGCACACAAATTTCATATTCCACACGTGATTTTTCAGCTGTTTTTAAAAAACAAGTATTTTTCTAAAAAGAAATGCTGGGTTTGGAAAAATAACCTGTTCTGGAGCATAAACCACAATAAGCAGTCAGATACTGCATGCATGATTAAGGGAAAACATTCCAATACATCTACAACTTTCAACAGGAACACATGACTGTGGTGGGGCAAGCAAGCTCCAAGCTACCACACGGCCAACAGGAGATCCCCTGGGAAGGGGACATACACTCTGAGCCCCAGGACACTAACTAGATCTGCAAAAACATGATCGTCATCCCAGTACTAAAACACCAAAGAAAACCATAATTACACTCTAATTGTCTTCTCATAATCTCCCAATGTACACACCTCTGCCTAATTTGAATCTCTAATTGAGGTGGTACATATCCTTGGAAGGATATCCCTTTTTCTTCATACACGTGTATCGTTAGACATCTGATTTCAGAAGTGGGACACATAGACGCTGGATCACCTCCACACCTACACGCTGGAGGAACCCCCTCCTCACTGCAGCAGTTCCCCTGACATTAGGTGGTAAGCAGATGCTCAGACTAACACGTTACTCTACAACACGGTGGGTGGGAGTAACAGCACTGCTTTTGCAGTGTGAGGCATGGCTTGAGCCATGCTTCACATGCTGAGGTCCTCAGGCGTTAGACATTGGCATGTCACTCTTCCCAATCCCTAAAGGGCTTTTGGCAGGAGAGGAGTATGTAGACCATCAGCTCAGCAAAGGTATGTCCTGAGCATGTTCACGGGCGGCTCTGCCTGAAGCTTCAGGTTCTCATAGGGCTTGCTTGGGCACATGTGCAGGCACGGTTTAGGTGCAGTTTATCCCTAACTCTGCATCGGAAGCTTTTCCCAATGACACTGTTTGTGCCTGAGTATTGTGCAATACCCAACTTCGGAGCTGGCAAGTAAATAACATCTTACCTGTTCGTGAAATGCTATTTAAGTGTGAGACAGGAGTCTTTTCAAGCCAGCACCTGCCCTTAAGAGTTCTGCAGAAGTCACTCCTTCATTTCTTCTCAATTTCTTACAGATAAACTTAACTAATGACATCAGCAAGAAAATAATGTCTACCACCTGCTACCAAAAGCTTAACCCAAACCCAATGAATTTTTATTTTTTTTCTCCTAATTCATTTGGTTTTGGACAAAACCCTTAATCATTAACATCAGCTGCTCACAAAACAGAATGCAGTGCTGCATCATGTAAGCACATGCATAAAAATACCCCCTTCCGTAGGCAGCAGCCAAGTCCCTGCACTTACTGGTCAGGGCCACAGATCATAAATGGGATCAACCCTCCCTTCCTCCCCCAAAATTCCTCTTTGGAAAAGGACATATACATTTCCGGTAGCTAATAAGTTAACATATGAAAATGTCGTGTTTTGGTTCATGATTACAGCCTTCATGTGACTGTAGTGGAGGTGGGGTTTGTTTCTTTTAAGTATTTGTACTTGAGTCTCGTGCCAAAGCCAAGAAATACATCTGGTATCAACTTCTGACCTTAGCATAGCTTAAAATTTCCATTTCTTCAGAAAAACAAAGGAAACAGCACTCTTTCAACTACTACTTTCTGACACATTTATGGTGGTACTTTGTATTTGTGGGGTTTACAGCTTCTCCTCGCCTTGCTGAGAAAGAAATGTAAATCAAGAACACTTTTAAAGTAGTATGGAAAAGACTGAACGAGGCTGACAACAGGGAAAAAACAAACACTGGTTCTCATTAATACTAACAAATCTGTCAATGTAAAGAAGTCTAAAATATAAATACATGCAACTTACTCTTATTTTGGGGCTCTTTTCACATTGCTGGAGTTGCACGAAAGAGAACCAGACCAAATATTACTCAGCTGCAGAGAAACAAGGGCCGAACTCTGATCCAGTTTACGTGGGTGATCATCCGCAGTAACTCCAGCACAGATCAGACTTTAATATTAATGCTAATGTTATTTTTTTTACTTCTAGGCAAAATTCCATTTGTTTAAACAAATGTTCCTTTAATTACAATGCTACTTACTGCCCTTTTTTGGAAAAGGATGTAGAAAGAATTCATCATTAGTACATTTGCAGCTCGTATTACTAAGATCAGAGCCTAGCCTTGCAACAGCAATTGAGCTTCAAATTATCAAATCTTTACACTTTTATTGAAGTCTTTAGTAAGTCTTCACTCAGGCAAAACTAAGATATTCAGGGAGAAGGTGCCCAACAACAACTTCAAAATCTTGTCTGCGACTACTGAAAACACGTGAATTACTTTTTCAAGCTTGTCTTCCCAGATTTCAGGAAACAAACAGACAAGCTATGTGAAGAAATATCAAAGAGCACTCAGGCTGCATGAACAAATATCAAAGGCAGTTAACAGCTACCATTTACCTATTAGCAATTCAAAAAGGCTTGTTTGGAAGATCTTTCCAATCGACAGCTGCTAGCTAGTGTGCACTGCCGGTCCTGACAACTGTCATCTGCTCAAACTGTTTAAGGTGGCAGATACTGCCTTGCCCCACATGAGAGCAGCTCCCTGTGACCAGGGATGCAACGTGGGACACGTGCGTGCCTTAGCCACTCCAAATCCCTGCCTGGCACATCAGCACAGATCCACCTTCACCTGTTGTTTTGGCTGTGAGCTGGACCAGCTGGAGAGCAGGTATGTTTTCTCCCTTCCATTGGCCTTCCCTGGGGGCTGGCAACCTCCAGCCCTGAGGTGGGACAGTCACTGGGGATGTCACCACCGGAGGTTTCCCAGGGTTCCTCAGAGCAGTGATACTCCATAAATACTTCTGGTTTTAACATTTGGTAAGCATGTGGAAAGCACATAGGCAGGAGGCATGGGTGTTCATGGCTAGACTTCCAGCTAAATGGATAAAATTTAAGTTTTCTGGAAAGAAATGAAAAAAACCCACACTATTTGTTAAAAAATCTTGAAAGCTGGGACATTCCTCATGGTACAGGTTCCTTTTAAGTACAACATCATCCAGTGGACTGGCCCATGTTTCCATGAAGAACTGCAAAGACTATTTCCTATTAATTTGCAATCAGTTAGTATTCCTCAAAGTACTCCAATTATTTACAGTGGAAGGGCATTTAGTGTCAATTTAACAGTTATGAGTAAGAAAAGCCAGTCATACAAACAACACCGAGACATCCTAACAAGGGTGTCCTACTTTAAATTATTCTTTAAAATATAACTCTTTTTAAAATTTCTTGTAACTCCAGTCAAGCTTGTATAGATTAATTGTATTTCATTAGCAATCTCATTGTTACCACTAACTTTTTAGATTTTTTTTTATTTGTGTGTCTTCTGCTATACCATGAATGGAGTAGTCTTTTAAGGGATTATGGATTTGATGGTAGACCATCAGAGAGTTACAAAAGGCACAGGAATTGAGGTTCTAATCCTGCATCGGCAGAAATAGACCTGTCGCCATGCAGACCACTAGTGCATGGCTTCTCAGCCGAGGGCTGTGATCTGGAAGTGCTTTGCCTCATCGTAGTGCTGAGCAAAATCCGATCTGATTTCCATGGGTTGGGGACTGCTGTCATGTTTACCACATATGTGCAAATGCAAATAAGCTGTTTGGAAAATTAGCATTTCAGTGAGGTCAGGAGACCTTCCGCAGTGCTCATCTCCCATTTATGAAATGGGGCATCTCCTGTTTCATAAACTGAAGCCGCTCTATGGTTACAAAGAGGTTTCTTCTCATTTTTGCCAATGCTGCACCAAAAACCTCGACTACGTTGGAGCAAAGCTCACTCAGTATGATCCCCAGCACGCATGGGCCACTGCCAGAAGACAGCCACTCACTCTTTGTCCTCCACCACGGCCACAACTCCTGGAAATAAACCCCACATACATGGCCCTGGCAGCCCTCCCTGCAGTCCCTGTCCAGGCGCTGCTCTGAAGGCTTACCATTGGGTCGGACAGGAGGGCTGCGGACCAAAGGGCTGGTGGATAAACTGGTGAGTACCATGGCTGCCGTTACTTTATCCATGTCCAGTTCTTCTGAAGATTTTCTGAAACATAGTGAATGGGAGGCAGGAAACACATCAGCAAATACTTGCCTTTTTTTAGTGCTTTTTTTTTTAAAAAAAAATAACAGACCAAACACTAAGCCAGTAACCGAAGCACACCACCAAGCAGAGTTCTCAAAGCTTTTGTCTTCTGGCAACCTGAGCATACTAAGTGGCTACTTTAAGCAAAACAGCTCAGCATAAATAGGAAAAGCAGTGCAAAAAGAGAATACATCTTTGTATAAAACTCTCAGGATTATTGTGACCCTCCATTAGTTTGACCCTATTTCCTTTTTTCAGAATTTCAGGCATTCATATCCTTAAAGTTAAGTGTCTAAGCTTTTTTTCTTGGGTGAAGACATAGAGATGCAAAACCAGGTAAGATTACCAGTAACATTAATAACATACACTACTCTCTGTAGGATGAGGAAGAACTATGAACTGGATTTTCTTCTTTGTTGCTTCCGCTTAACACTATTAACCTTCCTGTACTCTTGCGGAAAGACTGATCCTAAATTTTTCCTAGTCAGATTATCAACTAATTATTTAAAATAATTAGTAAATTGGCAGAAAACCAGTGCAGGGGGCAGGGGGGAGTTTTCTACAGGTGTGATGGGTGCCTGAGCCAGCAGGACAGCACAGCGGAAAGAGAGCTGTGCCTTGCTGCAAACCGGCCCTAAGTTGCTGCTTCGATTCATGCAGTCAAGACCAATGAGTTCTGGGGAAAAAAACCCTATAAAATCAGGAGAGAAGCAGAGGAGAGGGCATGGGGAAGGGGTAATAAGGGAGAGCCAGCTTTCTAGGGGAGGGAGGAGAGGATTTGGAGGCAATGGGTGCCTCCAGAAACCAGGCTTCAGTGACCCACTGCTCAAGGAGAGATGGTTTTTTTGGACAATGCAGAATTTTCATTGGCTGTAAAAATGTACACACTATCACTTTTTTTCCGCAAAAGTAACTTTTCCTGACAGGTCAGCAGTACAATGTACAATTTCTGAAGAGTGAACGTATCAAAACAAAACTACTAAACTCACTAGGTTTAGCAGACTTTAGCTTTCCATCCTTGTGGGACAGCGGAACCAAAGCAGACAGTTTCTTGTAATCATTTGCTTTCAATGATACAATTGATCATCCAAGACCATCTTCTCGTTTACTAGAGATCAGGTTAAATTTGTTCTTACAAAAGGACACATTTCCCCCTTTATTCTGAATTGTGGGGTTTCTAGAATTTCCTCTGTGCCTTGCCAGGAGCTCTACTTAACCATCAGGTTGAGTCTTTATTTAAAGCCCAATATAAGAAGTGTTCAGCCACCTGACGTTTTCCGTCAACTGTTGATCCAAATCACCATGCTGCTTGGAGTCCCCTTCCTAGAATCCCATTTGACCCATCAGGTTAGAGGCTCATTAACTGAAAACTACGCTACAGTCAAATCCTCTTGATATTTTAGTGAGCAAACCTCAAACTTGTCCATGAAACAGTTTACAACTGCTTTCTGGCTGATGCAAGGACCCATGCAGATGCCGATGAAGACTCTCCCATGCCACACAACAGCTTAGCTCTCATGACTGTCTTTTGCAACACATCAGTGCCTGGAACCGAAATGCTGACGATGGCTCCTGCTGTGCTCTGATTATATCCATAGAAATCCTCCTTTCCTTAAGCCAAGGTTTTTGCAAAGAGCACAGCAGCCATATAGTCATCACTGAGTACTGGAAAGGTCTTGGATATCTGCTATAATCAGCTAATACCTAAATCCATCACGCATCAGGTCCTCTTGCTGTCAGAAGAATATTTCACTCAGAATGCCAAATTCCTCTGGGTCCAGAAGACCTTTCCTCAGGGATGACATGGAGATGCTACATTTTCTGGACACCAACCCTGCCAGATGATTTTCCAATTGCCTAATATCCCAGTATGAAAATCCACTCTCTGAGAAGCATTCAGCTGCTCTGTAGTCCACTCCTGCACGACTACACCGACTGTCCCTACTCCTTTATCCAGCTGTGGATGAACCGCTAATATTTGCACTTCTGCAACACCGGAGGACAAAATGACCACAGGTTCCTGATACGCTGGAGAAGCTGATCCCTAGTGTTCGCAAGCAGCCTTCCAACAAGGTTCTTCTGTGTGTATGGCAACAGGACTAATGCGCTCCCGTCCAGGCCTCTGCAGAATTGCAAAATCACACTACAGCAGTTGTTGCAAGCGTTTGCCAAGTTGGTGTCAAGATGTCAGAGTCTAGACCCGGAGCTAATCCCAAAGTTCCTCCAAATAGTCTGTAATTTTAACTTCTTCTAGCTCTTCTGTATTGATTTTTTTTCCCCCTTCTACAATGACTCAGACTACTGCTCTAAAAAACTAACCTTTGCTCCAAATAATTTTGTCAATAACGCTCCGAAATTGTCAGCATTGGCATCCGTGCCTAAGATGAAAGTTTTCATAGGTAGGCAAAGGACAGGAATGGTCATGAAACCCCCCTGCCATTTCTAGCCGTGCTAAACCACACTTTTGCAGTTACTGGAATGCTTTTTTCTATCTGATCCAATTTAACAGGTTTTCAACATGGAAAGCCCAAATAAACAAAACTTTGAACTTTTTCTCTGCCCATTTTGAATCACAGTCATTTTTACTACTTACTGCTCCTCAGCTGCATCCAGCAAACAAGGAATGCTCCGCTTGTACTTCCCAGCCACAAGAATTTTAGCAGCTACAAGTGTTGGCTTATGTGACTCTGCTCCCAAACACATTTTTACAGTTTGGCTCATAAATGTAAACATACATATTTCATATATCACTCAGCCAGCACCTCTGCAGCAACAGCAGCCTTTGAGAGAGAGGCAAAGCATAAAACTGCAGACAGGAACCACTTAAGCCATCTGCATTTAGTCAGCATCACATTTGAGTCAATACCTTAAGACTGCCCCAGTCTTTTCCAGCTTTCTCTGCTGGAAAGTTGAACCTGCACACAGCTGTTCAACAGTATTCGCACTCAGAGGGAGAATAACTTGTTTGTTACACATTGATTGTTCACAAACCATTTATTCCACCATTGCTAAGGTGATTTTCTGCAGACTGAAGTTATAATCCCTGATGTTGCTTATACTGTTATTAGGTGTAATGAAATCTAAATCAGTTGTAAGATCATCTACCACATTAGCTATGAAGATTTCTTCTTTCCTCTAATCCCACTCCCAGTCTCCAAATGCCATCTCCCAACTTCTGGATGGATATATTTGTGTCAGCCCAGTCTGTATTTGAGACCAAGCAATTTTGGATCCTTTATTTCCAAGTCTTTGTAAATCCAAACCCATGCCAATAGCTGAATTACAATGAACCAGCTGAGACATAAGCAGCAGAAGTTAGAGGACCTTGGGGACAGATCTTTTACCACTGCCCCATGTCTCTCAGCTTCATGTCTCCCTGCTTACTCAGCAGGGAGAATGGTTTCACTTGATCCTTCCAATACCCTAACCTAGCCAGCCTGGTATTTAAAATTGTCCTTGTCTTTAATAGCCAAGCTCAAATTAAACTTAGCTACTACCCTCAGTCTTGCTCAATCCTTTCCTTGGTTTTGCTGATGAATTTACTGCTTTTTTGATAATCATTTAACGGTGTTAAGAAACTATCACATCTCCCTCAGTCAGAGCTCTCTGCAAGGAAAGGCTGGGTTTAAGCTCCAAAAGATGAGCAAAAGAGGGTCCAAGACAAGTCCAAGTATACGCAAGTGTCCCAAACCAACACAACATCCGATCTCCTACTGTCCCATTTCCTCACCCAGTAGCTGACTGCCCCTAGGACCCATGTTTTCTTATGCGACTGAATCCACGGTTTAAGGTCTTGGTGCGATTCCTCCCTACTAGCAACTTTCTGGCAAGGGGATGTCTTCCTGACATTCAATCCATAAAATACCTTACATTTACAATAATATTTGGTTACTATCTAACAACTCAAAATACTGACAGTACAGATAAATAAATGATCTTGCTAGTTGCTGTTAGGTTTGGTTGTTGATTATGAAGGTTAAAAATTAACCAGCTTGCCACAGACAAAAGGAAAAATTACAGAGAGAATGATCCATATAACCAGTCTGAGGTCCTGAGCACTCTTTGGTAAAAGCTGTAACTTTTCACAATAAAGCAAAAAGCAAAGGGAAATATTTTCAAAGATTATATTAAATCATTACACTACTATAATGATACATCTTAAAACTTAAGGAAGCATTACTATTTACACATCTAAAAAGAGAACTGGTGTTTGATATCCGAAGCACAATGCACTAATTAGAAGCTAGGGATTTCTGCCTTTGCTCATCATGGCCACACATAGAATTAACCTTTTCCACTCTTAAATTTGTGGTATTTGCAGACTAGTTCATATACAGAATAATTGCCCTTTCTGGGGGGGGGCTCTGCTGTTCTGGTTATACATCAGCAATTTTTTAGGATACCGACAGCGACTAGAAATTAATTATGATCAAAATCTTTATTATACTAATATAGGAACTTTCCTTCTAAAAAACATATATACCTGAACTTCTCAAGGAAAAAATAAAAGTGCTTCAAAGGCAACCTCAAAGCTCTCCACCACCCTCAGCCAAGCTGAAAGGTTTTGTGATTCAATTATTCAAAGGACCTTTGGAAGTCTGGCTGGTCTGTTCGAGGCCGAGGAGAGTTGAGAGTCGTCAGTAATGCAGATACAGACTTTCTATTTGGACTGTAATGGTTTAAAGACAATAAAAAGTCTCTGCAATTTAGTCATATCAGATGGGAGACATTCACAGAGTGGGTCTCAGCATCCTGGAGAAGAAAATATGTTTAACAGAGGAACTGAAGAGAAAGCAGTGTGTAAGGCCAGCGTGTTTCTCAAAGTCTTTTATTTTTCCTCACATCAGACCACGCATCACCTTCCACTGCTCCACAAAAACAGGACTCTAAAAACGGGTATTTCTCTAGCCATTATCATTAAATGCACTAAAACTTGACAGAAAATAATCCATTCATTTTTA